ACCATCCTTGCATCTCTAATATGAATCCCACTTGATCATGATGTATTTTTGATGTGCTACTGTATTCTATTGACTAGGATTTTGTTGAGAATTTTTGCATCTATGTTCATGAGGGATATTGGCCTATAATTTTCTTTCTTAGTGATGTCCTTCCCTGGTTTTGGTATGATAGTTATGCTTGCTTCATTAAATTTATTAGGGAGTTTTCCATCCTCCTCTATATTCTGTCTGTATTACTTTTTAAAAATTGAGATTGGTAATATATACAGTGAAACTTGAAAGGGAGCTCCTCTGGAGTGCTTGTGTTTCTGGATCTTGAACATTTTCCCCCACTGACAGGGTGCAGTCTTACCAATTTCTGTCTCTCTGTTGGTGGAAAGGAATTCTGGTGTGGTGCTGTGGGTTATTGCATCATACTACAAAGCCATTTGAACTGAAAGGTTGGTGGTTCAAGCTTACCAGCTGCTCCTTGGAAACCCTATACAGGGAGGGTCACCATGAGTTGGAATCGACATGACGGCACTTAACAGCAACAACAGTTGTAGAAACCTTGGTCTCTCTTTGTGGACCTCTTCATGGCTCCCGGCTTCCCTCTCCCAGAAGTTCATAGGCACTCTTACCCTTGATATCCGCATGCCAGGATCCTTAAGTACCACCCCTGGCCTCCCAGAAGTGCCCAAGATTGGGCATGCTTGCTTATCTCTCCCTCGTAGAACAGGGTGCAAACATTGGACTTGCACTTGATGTGTTTGATGTTGAGGAGGTATGTTACACAGCTGCCCTGCTCTGGGAGTGGTGTTCTCTGCCAAACACTTTATGAAGGAATACTTTTGAGGAAAATGTGATTAAGCAAAGGGAAATAAGTTTCTTTTGTGTATGGCTACAGAGGCTTTAAGGAGCTCTGGTAGCGTAGTGGTTACAAATCGGGCTGCGAACCACAAGGTCAGCAGTTTGAAACTACCAGCTGTACCGCGGGAAAGAGATGAGGCGTTCTGCTCCGGTAAAGATTTACAGCCTCGGAAGTCCTGTACAGGGTCGCTATGGGTTGGAGCCGACTCCACGGCACATAACCACCACCACCACAAACCCTTTGATTAATTACTTTATACCAGGCCTGTAGTTTGGAATGGTTTCCATTCTTGTTTAACCACTAGTTTAAAAAAGGTATTTATGAAAGCTAGTACATTGTATGGCTCCTGTGTGGTAATATCAGTTATGTGTTCAACTGCTAACTGGAAAGCTGGAGGCTCAAACCCACCCAGAAGCACCCAGAAACCCAGAATCAGGCACAGCCATGAAACCTCTATGGAGCAGTCGTATCCAGCACAGATAGAGTCTCCATGATTAGGATCATTTTGATGCCAGCTGGCTTAGTTTTGTTTTATTAGTTTATTTTCAGTGGTAAATGCAGGAAAGGGGGTCAGCAGAATTGAGAAAAGGTGGCAAGTTGCTCTAGAGGAAATGCCATTTCAATGGAAACTTGAAGGAAGCAGATGAAGAAGGGGGAGGATGGCGACATGGTGCTGTCCAGATGAGGAGGAACATGAGCAGAATTAGAAGTTACAAGGGCTTGTATGTTCAGGAAGTTAGGGGATAGAAGTTAACTGTGAGAAGTATCTTACCTTCTGCCTAGTAGTTTGGTAAAATACCTGTTAAAATATTGAATAATGGGTGATATAAGGAGCCCTGGTGGGTCAGTGGATGGTAAACTTTGGTTTATGTTAACTGAAAGATCAGTGGTTCGAATTCACTAGTCGCTACATGGGAGAAAGCTGAGGCTGTCTGCTTCTTGTAAAGAATGCAGCCTCGAAACCTACAAAGTAATCTTACACTCGGAGAGGATCACTATGATTCAGAACTAACTCAGTGGCAGTGTGTTTGACTTTTTGGGGGTGTTGATGGGGTGATTTTAGACAAAGGAGCCTTTATGGAACTCATAAGTCACTCCTTATGAAACCAACAGAATTTGTTTTTGTGCCAAGTTTTCCCTGCTTACAACTAATTCTTGTCCTGAGGATTCATTGGCGTTTTTCTTACTGTTTTTATTTTGGTTTCAAAGCAGAGGCAATAAGTGGATAATTGAAAATATATGGAAAGCTTGTTAAGTGCTGTCTAGTCAGTTTTGACCCATAGTGACCCTGTAACAGGTTTCTAAGGAGCGACTGGTGAGTCTGAACTGCCAATATTTTGGTTCAGAAGAGCCTTGCAGTCCAGTGCATTATCCTGCAGCTCCAGATACCTTTAATATTAAAAGATTTCTTAATTTTGTATGTGCACATGTATGCATGTGTTCTTATAGCTCATAGCTTCATATCCTATGTTTTGCTTTCTTCAGGGCTGGCAAAACGAGTCGGCGCACGTCTTCTCCTGGCCTCCACCTCTGAGGTGTATGGAGGTGAGTGAGGGCTGCCCACCTGGGGGGTGGGTGCATGTTTCAGCGATCTCCTCCTCTGGGTAGAATCAACCTCTCAGTCTTGCTTTATCTCTGTCTCTCTTATATATATATATACACTGATGTGGTGCTGCAGGTTAATGTGCTGGGCTGCAAGGTCAGTTTGAACTGCAAGGTTGGCACTTCAAGCTCACCAGCCTCTCCTTGGAAACCACATTCAGGGTTATTATGAGTCGGAACTGACTCATAGGCACTTAAAAACAACAAAATTATATATTTTAACTGCGCATCCAAAGGAGCTCTGATAGCATGGAAGTTATGAATTGGGCTGCTAGCCTCAAAGTTGGCAGTTCGAAACTACCAGACATTCTGCAGGAGAAAGATTTACTGCCTCGGAAACCCTGTGCAGGGTCACTATGAGTTGGACCCGACTCCACAGGACTTACCAACAACAACAACAAAGCACATCCTAGGAGTATTGTATCATGTGATCTTGCAACTGAGGCCCCACCATTTATGGATCCTTTTCATTATTGAAGGATTGTATGGACAAATTATTGAATGATGCAGA